TTATTATTTTCAATATTATGTTATAATTGTTTTTCTACTTTTTAGATTTTTTAAATTTATTACATAATTTCTTTATTTTAACTATTTAAAATCTAGTTATGTTAAATATTTTATTATTTAAAATATTTAGTTATTTGAATGCTTAAATAATATATAAAATATTTAAATTTTAAAACATTAATTATTTGTTAAATTTAATTATCCATAAAATCATAATTGATACTATTATTACATAGTTTCATTATTACAAATTAGGGTAGAGGATAAATAGTAATGAGAAATAATTATGAGAGAGTCTCTAGTAAATTAGAGATAATTTTGGAGATAAATAGGAATTAGAGATAATTTAGAACATAAATAGGAATTAGAGATAATTTTAGAGATAGTGGGGGAGGTAGTTTAGGAGTAATTTTAGGAGAAGAGATTATTTAGGTTATTGGGAAAATGCATCTCATTGGTTGTTTCAAATATGACGTGGAATAAAAAAATAAGAAAATTTCTTGACCACTTTGTTTTAATATATATATATATATAGAGAGAGAGAGAGAGAGAGAGAGAGAGATTTGGCAACAAAGTTGAAAATATGACCACTTTGATTTCCCCTCGGCTATAATAGCTTTGATAATTGCCTATTATTTTATTGTTTGTTGTTGGTGAGCTCCAAAATTTTGATTGCATTTCTTTAAACTATTTGCAATGTTCGGAAACATATATAAGTATTTTCAAACCATCATTGATCCAAATAGTTGGACTGTTCGGCCCAGAAACCATCCAAGCAATCAGTTTCATTTCACCGTTAACTTAGTCCTTGGCCAAAACCATTGATTTGGTCAATGACCCACTGACCAAATGTAGCCTACACTACATGGGTGTAGCTACATGTAGCGACCTGTTGATTTGGTCAACAAAGGAACTAACTTTGTTGCTTGTACTTGTAAATGTCTATAGGCCTAAATACCCTTACAAGCAACAAAGTTAGTTCCAAATGTAGCCTACAGTACATGTGTGTGGCATGATTGGATTACTGAGTCAAAGGTTCAAGGGATAAGAAATGTCAAAGCTCGCTTGGATCGGTGTTTGGCTAATTCAGATTGGAGGTGGTGAAGGAGGCTTGACAAGTACCCTCATGCAACAATTATTCATTTGCCAAAAACTTCCTATATTCATACCCTCATGCAACAGTTATTCATTTGCCAAAAACTTCCTCTGATCATTGTCCTTTGCTTGTTGATTTAATTGGTACGTTTCTTAACCACAATCCTCCTATTCGTATTAAGCACGCATGGTTTACAAATGATTCCTTTAAGGAGGTGGTGAAGGAGGCTTGACAAGTACCTTCATCATCTTCAACTATTTCTCTGGTTTGTAATGCTTCTAAAGCTTTTCCGTCTCTCACCAAGTCTTGGAATATGTTTTTGGTAATGTTTTCAGAAGGAAAAGGCACATTTTGAAAAGAATTGAGGGATCCAAAAATTTTTGGAAACAAGGCCTTCTCGTTTCCTCAATGATTTTCAATTTTCCCTCCATAAGGATATTTTGATATCCTCAAACAGGAGAAAATTCTTTGGAGCCAAAAAGCCAGATTCAATTGGGTAAAAAATGGTGATTCAAACACCAGATTCTTTCATACTATGGCTCTTAAGAGGGGTCAGTCAAAAAAGGTTTTGGCCCTTAAAGAAAATAATGTGTGGATTACTGATAATGATGAGCTAAAAAAGATGTGCAAAAATCAATTTATTAGTTCATACTCATCATCTTCAGCCAATTGAAATCATAACCTTGATCCTTGTTTTGGCAACATTCATAACAATATTGATCAATGGTTCACACCAGTGACAAAACAAGAAATTAGAAGCATTGTTTGGAGTTTTCCAAACAATAAAAGCCCGAGTCCTGATGGCATTACTTCTGAATTTATCAAAATCCATTGGGACATTGTGGGCCCATCTTTTACTAATGCAATCTTTGAATGCATTGACAACTCTAAAATTCCAAATTATTTTAACCAAACCCATATTGTTTTAATTCCAAAAGTAAAACACCCTGAAACAATGAATTGTTTCCGTCCTATTGGTCTTTGTAACACTATTTATAAGGTAATTGCGAAGCTTATTGTAGATAGACTCAAACCTCTCTTGCCAAAATTCATTTCCCCAAACCAGTCTAACTTTGTCCCCGGCTGGCATTTAAAGGATAATATGATCATTTTGCATGAAGTTCTCCATTCTTTCAAAAGGAAAAGCGGTAAGAAAGGTTTTATTGGAATTAAACTTGACCTTGAAAAAGCATATGATAAGCTTCATTGGTCATTTATCAAAAAGTCTCTTGATTTCATTAAAATTCCTAAGAGATGGGTTAATTTGATCATGAGTTGTATTACCACCTCTAGTTTTAACATTATCTTCAACGGTTCAATTCTTGAACCATTTAAACCCACAAGGGGTCTTAGACAAGGGGACCCCCTCTCCCCCTACATTTTCCTAATTTGTTTAGAAACTCTTTCGGGTATGCTTAATAAAGTTGTGGCTAATGGTGAGATGAAGCCATTTAAATTCTCTAGAACAGGCCCCAAGTTATCTCACATCTTCTATGCAGATGATTTGTTTATTTTTCTAAAGGCCTCCATCACTCAACTCAATTGTGTGAGAAATATCTTGGATAATTTCTGTAATGCCTTTAGGGAAACAATTAACTATAGTAAATCTATCTTATTCACATCAAGGAATGTTCCCCATAGACACACCCGAATGCTGGCCAGAAATATTAGGGTTAGGGCTTCTAACAACCTTGATAAATATCTTGAGGTCCCCATTTTTAGAGATAGGGTTAGTAAACATACCTTTCATTCTATGTTCGACCATGTTCAAACCAAATTAGCAGGATTGAAGGCAAATACTCTTAGTCTTTCTAGTAGATTAACCATTCTCCAATTTACCTTATCCTCATTTCCCCTCCATGCCATGCAAATTTTTTGTTTACCCTCAAGCACCTGCCAAGATGTAGGCAAAGCTAGAAGAAATTTTCTATGGGGAAGTTCTCTTGAGCACAGGAAATTGCATCTCATTAAATGGGAGAAGATTCTCACTCCTAAACATGTTGGAGGGCTTGGTATTAGGGACCTTCACTCCTTAAATCTATCTCTTGTCACTTTATTAGCGTGGCACCTCTACTGTAACCAAAATAGTTTGTGGTCCAAATTCCTAATTAGTAAATACGGTAGGGGAACTGATGTTCTGGACCCATGTGTAAAAGGACATGACTCTTGGATTTAGAAGGGAATAGCTAAAGGTTGTAAATTTCTTGGGGAGGGTCTCATACGTGCCATTGGGAATGGAGAAGACACTAATTTTTGGGATGACCCATGGGTTACCAAGACTACTTGTAGGCAGAATCGGTTGTATGGGCCTCTCCCAAATGTTAATTTGAGGAATGTTAAGGATTGTATAACTGCTTCTAGTGATTGGGACATCAACCTGATTTCTTCTCTCTTGCCAAGTGATATGGTTGAAAAAATCATGGCAATCCCTTTAAATTTAGGGTCGCAAAAAAATGACCATTGGATATGGCCTGACACTAAAGATGGTAATGTTTCAACTAAATCAACTTATACATTTATTAGAAAAGAAAATGATCTCCCTAAACCTCAAGCTTTTAATCTGATTTGGAAAGCTCTATGTAAACCAAGGGTGAAAATATTTTTGTGGCTGCTCTATCATAGAAAACTCCCCACTCGCGATGCTCTAATAAAGAGAAATATTTAGGTTCCTAGTGAATGCCCCTTGTGCAATGAGAGCATGGAAATGATTGATCATGTGTTTATGGAATGTAGGTTCTGTAAGAAAGTCTGGAATTTATATGATAATCATCCCACACCCACTAGTGCACTAAACTTTAAGAGTTGGATTGAAAGTAATCATGAGACTAGTAATACTCTCAGGGCGATTTATTTTAACTATTTAAATTGGCTGATTTGAAGGACCCGAAATAAAAGTGTTCAACAATATCAGTTACACTCCCACTTATATTACAAATCTTGCAAAAAAATATGTTGGTAGTTTCCTAAGTGCCCAACATACTAATGCTTCTGCCAAGAATCAACCTTTTTGCAGAGTCTGGAGAGACATCAAATGGGAAGCTCCGGGTGATCAATGGATCAAAATCAATACAGATGGAGCTGTCAAGGGCCATAATGGTGGTGCCACGGCTGGGGGTCTTCTCCGAGATCAACTTGGCAATGGAAAGGAGGCTTCACCACTTACATTGGAAATTCCTCTATCGACTTGGCAGAATTGTGGGATGTCAAACGTGGGCTTGTCTTGTCGTGGAACTCAAGCTACTGCAAAATCATTTTGGAGTCAGATTCGTGTTCCACCATTCAAATTCTTAAGGGTGGTAGGGATGACCATTGGCGTCTTTCTACAATAAGCGAGGATATCAAAGCTCTTATGAATAGAGATTGGGAAGTTCGTATTAATCACTGCTACAGGGAGGTCAATAGATGTGCCGATTTTATGGCTAATTTGGCTTGGAGCACTAAGATTCGGTATAAGGAATTCCTTATATCTCCTAGAGAGCTTAACTTTCTTCTGTTTGTTGATGTTATGGGGGTAGTCACCCCTCGTTTAATTTTGGTTTGAGTGTTTTGGTTTCTGTGCTTTGTTGTTGTTTTTGTTATTTCTTTTTTTGTTAGGCTCTGTTAGATGAATCAAAAAGAAAAAAAAAGGTTCAAGTCTCATAAAATTAAGCTATCTGCAAGTAATTTTGTTCATGATGCACATTGGGGGTTGCAAGAGAGTGCTTCTACAGATGTGTTTTCATTCCATCCATGATCCAGTAGATAAGATTTGAAATTTGAAGACAAACTTGGATAAATAGACACCATTTCCAACCTTAAAGTTTAACATTACACAATTTTCAATAAGCCGTTCAGATCAACTGTGTTAACTTGTTTTGTAATTTCATTTTCCCGGAAACAGAAGAATTTCAAATAAGCGTACTACTGTATGCAAGATTATTGCTTATTTCGTTTATTTCTTGGAAAGAAAACAGCACTACATTTCACTTCTGCTACCGACTCTTGAAAGGCTTATAAGTCTTCACATCTGCAGCAAGCCCCTGAACGGATCCAACTGCAGCAACAATTGACACAACCAAGCAGGCGTAGCTCAGTATTTTGAGCCATGTCCATGTGAATGAAAACTTGGGTATCTTGGACTGAGAAATGTATATCTCTATGGGAAAGTATACACTCAGTGGCCAGTAAGAGAATGCCCCAATCAGACCCAGAAAGTCATTGAAGAATGGGAATATCATCGCAACTACTGTTGTTGCTATTACATACACCGATCTCCATACCAGTCGAAACAAGTTGATGTAGTATTTGCCATGTAATGGAACGTTAACAGCACGTTCTTTCGCTATGAATTTATTTTCTGGCCAATGGTTTCTGCAGAAATTTTCCACAAACGCGAACAAGATTTGCGAAAGGAGCTGCATTGTGTGGTCATCGATCGATCAATTTGCCAGGTTATAAACATGAATGAATGTATATAGCAAATTTAAAGGCCATTACCCAATATTGGTCCTAGCTATCTATATAGGGTCATGGACTCTTGGGAGGGGTGGAGTGGATACAAATTAAATCAAACCTTAGCTTTTCTTCTTTTTCTCATGGTGATAGTTCTCAGACATGAACCCTTAGAGTCCATTTGAGAGGGCTTTTGCGGTGTTTGAGCTGCATTGACTGAGCCACTTCTGATAAGCTACCTACAATAACTTCATCGGATAATTGATTTTACAATTGTTCTAAGCTTTTCTTTGACTTCCCAGATTTTTACCCAACACAGCTTGATAGCTTTTGGCGCAGTTCATATAAGCCTTCAGCTTGATAACTTTACAGGTTTGTTGGCTCAGTTCATGTAAACATTTTTTCAACCTTTGCGATTTTTACCACCAACACAGCTTGACGAGTCCGGATCTGTTCCTCACACCAACCTCACAATATGTTATGGCTACACATCAGGAACATCTTCTGTACTTGCAGTTATATATTATTCATGAGGAGATGTTCTTAATACACAGTGGGATGTGACTGAGAATGTGAGGAGCGTTCTGTGAAGAGCAGATCCCAATTCCGGCTTGACACTTTCTAGGTTTCTTAACTCATGATGCCACGTGAAAGCCCACCTAAAGGGCCTTTTCCTTCTCTACCTTGGCCCATCTAGGTTGTCGGTTTATACATTTAGGTAGTGATTGTCCAGCCCACCTTGGCCCATTGGCCCACCATGCAATGAACCGTAGCAAAAGCTAAAAGACAATAGCCCATAATCTGAGCATTAGCATCAATCAGATTTTTTCTTTTTCTTTCTTATAAGCTTAGCTTATGTTGGTCTGTGGATGAGTAAGATGAGAACAAATGAACAAATACCTGGTATACTCCAATGAGATGGAGGGCAATGCACACATTGGCGAAGTCAATGAGCCAAAAGGGTTCATAAAATCCAAACCCAGTAAGAAAGTTTCCTGGTGCATCATTCCCAAATGCAGCGTAGCCAATGCATCCACATAGCACGTAGAACATGGCCGTGGTCGAGACCCCAATAAATGAAACCCTCTTCATCACTTTGTTCTCTGGGGGACTTGATTTTAGTGTGTCCTGCAATTTATGGATTGACGTCAAATGGAAGCATATATATATATATAGAAAGTTAAAAGCATATAAATAATTAGTACTTTATTCATCAATTCCTGTATATATAGAAATTGCATGGTTTATTTTAAGAGGGGAAAACAAGAATTATTTAATTTAATTTTCCATATGATTATTGGGTTTTGTCAAATTTGCCTTTCATATCAATCACAACTTTAAATTTTCTTTGTTTTTGTTGTTCATAAAGTTTGTATTATTATTATTTTTTTTTGTTTCTGTAGAAACCAGTCTCAATAAGAACTATATGGGTATTTTAGACATTTACATGCCCTTTCTTAGAAGATTCTACAAAAGGGGTCTACTTACAACTATGAGAAAGTTCAGGGGAGGTGATTTCAATGATTTAACCTCAGGGGTGGTTTTAGCAATTTATCCCCCCGCCCGCCCCCCANCCCAATCCCAATTATGAATCACCAAATATTCCTGCTTTTTTTATTCCAATCAAATCCATTGTAAAGATTAGAAATAAAAAAAAAAAAAAAACAAAAAAACAAAAAGAATAACAAATACAAGGAGCTTTCAACCTTCATAAATCAGAACCAGGATTAATTAGTTTGGACTTCATCCAAAATTGTTATCCAACCCTCTGATCTGGGAGTGGTGCTAAACAGTGTTTTATAAGTTGAACGGTTGAACCAAACATTGAACCACCGCTTATTGGGCCTTTTGTGCACTGAAATTTTGATGGACCCAACATGAACCTGGCCCAACCCCATCACAGCTTTTGCAAGGTTTAGGCGTGTATGTTTGGGCCTTTTGTGCACTGAAATTTTGATGGGCCCAACATGTACCTGGAAACCCGAACTTGACCTTAGCAGCTTCGCTGAAGTTATCTTACCAAAATTTCAGTCCAATTTTCTGCCCACTATTTATTTTCTATTCTCTTTCTCTTTTACTTTTTTCTTTTTATTATTTATTAAGGATATATTTCACATATAAATAACTCTTTTTGGTTGATGTTGACTTTGGTCGGACTTCCAATAACCAAGTAGGCTGTGGAATCAATAATAAGGTTCTATGTCAGTATTAAATACATGGGGCCCATATCTTTTCCAATAAGGCCCATGAATTTAATACTGACATAGAATTTCATCATTAGTTTCACAGCCCGCTAAACAGCTAAAGCATTCAGCTAATCCAAATTTCTTTCCACCACCCGTCCCCGTTTAAGGCAACTCAAAACTCAGCATGCTAATATATAGATTAATTGAACGTAATAGTTGTTTAGAGTGTTCTTCACACCTATTTCATTATATATTTCATCACTAACATGGGGAATTATCATTGATTTCACAATCGACTACACGGCTATTATGTTCAGCTAATTTGAATTATTATGTAGGAAGAAAATTCAGAGGAATTTCCCTCGATAGAAGGCCCAATGAGTTAAAAACTAATTTATATGGTATTATTATTTTTTTTTTCAATTTATGGACTGTCATTCTCGACTTTCCCTTATCAATATTGAAAAATAATTAATGACCAGCCTTGACTTCACGTCAAATTGACCATCCCAGACTTGAATGGTAAAATTTTGGGTTGACAAGCATAGAATACCGGGTTCGAGTATGCATGCAATTTTGAAGAAAAAGAAAACAAAGATTGTCAAACCACTTTCACTAATATTATCTTAAACTTGACCTGACTTTTCAATGCCCCCAGACCCCTTATCAAACATCTACCTTAATAAAACAAACAATATTTAAGAGATTACTTATGGCCTCTATTCAACTCTATCGTTTGACGGTTTGAAGCATAATTTTGAAAATATTCTGTATCGGTATATCGGCCTCTTTTTTATCGTTATTRTTATTATTCTTTGAATCTGATTCAGAGGGGATGGTTTAAGGCTGATTTACCCTGAATCATTTGTCGACCCGAAACACCTCCTGGAAGAGTATATCGGGAAGACTCCGATATGGGTCAATAAGTATTAATATTTTAAACCTTGGTTATTGAAATATGAGAGAAAAATAAACCAAAAGTATTTTTATTAAATATAAAAGTTAGTTAATATGATAAAGTGCAGAGCAGAGTTAGTTTTGCCATTAAAAATAATAATGATATATGTGGACCACTATGATGAAAACGAGGGTTAGATTCTAAGGGGCGGCCACTTTATTGGAGAAAAAAAAATGCGAAACTTAGGGCCATATCATGTAATAGCATTTTATATATGTTATAATAAATGAAAGTATCTAAAGGGTTCTAAAAGAAAGATGATATTTAAATAGAAGTGAGAGTAGGTTTAAGAGAACGTTGGAAAAGTCGTGACTAGGGTCTTCACTTCCACTTGCAAATTTAACCTACCGCGTTCAATTTCTATTAAGAAATTGATGGAAAAGCTTATCCAGAAATTAAGAAAGAGAAAGAAAAAGAAAGGAATTTAAATTAAAAGAAGAAATTCCTATTAGCTACTTTTGTAATTTGGAATTGAAATCTTAAGGCTCAGTTTGGAAAGAATGCAATATATACAGTATAAATATATATACAAAATAATACAAAATGTAAGGTTTTGCATTCTAAATATGTATTCCTTCCAAACTGAGCCTCCTTGAATAGCTTTGGATAATTGATGACATGTAAAATTCTGCTGCAACGATGGTCACATGCAACCCCAATTAATGAATTGTAAACACACCCGCCTTTCAAATAACAAACCACTTTTGCTACCAAAAGTATAATATGGTCATGGTTTTCGAACTGTGGTTGATTCGGATGGTCAGACCATTCGGATTATAAACCGTTCAGACAACTGGTTTTTTCACCCTCAACCTGTTTAGCTAAAAGCTGTTGGCTTGGTTAGGAACGGTTAACTTGACCACTTTTGCCTTTTTTTTTTCAAATTAGAATGGGGTATCCATTGGAACTGGATGGTCGAACCACTGACCCGAAAACCAGTGACCTAAGCGGGTCCGTTCTAGGTCAATTTTTAAAAACATTAGATATGGGTTATTGTGTAGCTGCAGTGATAGAGCTACACATTTGTTTTTAAAAACATTGGAAGAAATACAAATATACAGTGGAAATACATACAAGATAGTATAAAATACAGAATTTTTGCACTCTACAAATTTGTATTTATACTCTTTCCAAACTGAGCTTAAGGGTCACTAGATCAAATGCAGAAATCTCTACAAAATGACGTGTAGTAGGGTTGCCAACCATCTCATCAATTCTCAAGTATCATTAATCATGCTCCATTGCATCTCTGTTATCGAATTTCTATTTCCTTTAATAAAAGCAACATGGTATATATAGAAGATTGACTTGCCTGAACCTCAACGAGAACGGGAGCGAATGTGTAGGCAAAAGCGATATCTCCAATGGCCTGAAATATCCTCCATACCTTCTCAGTCTCAGTGACATCCACTCCAACTTCCACCCCTCTCCAACTGGTCCGTACTTCATGGCTTCCCTCTGCAAACACTCCAACAAGCAGGAGCACCTTAACCAATTAATAAACCATTCAACAAAGAAGATTCAATTCTTTTCTAGCTAGTTTATGTCTCATCTCTGTGTTTCAGTGTTTTTTGAATTTATAGCTAATAACAACCTGCAACTTTGGCTGCAGAGAGACCGATGCCTATAAGAGAATAAGAAAATGACATCAGAGCTGCGACGATGGAGAGCCAAGAGAGCTTGTGAATGTTTGGAATTTGGGACAGAACTATCTGAATGCATGCGAAGATGATCATGAAGGGAACGTTTGATACTTTGCACTGCGCGTGGTGGCCGTTCATGTGGAAGCAGTTGGACCTTTTAACCGCCCTGGTTGAGGTAAAAATGAAAGAAGAAATCGATCACCAGTCATTCTCACAGCATTTACAAATACACATATGCAATCAGCTCTAAAGTTTATGAATGAAAAAAGGAACAATTTTTCAAAATTGGAGGGAACTTGGTTAATTATTACTCACGCCATACTGAGAGATGCAGTGATGGTGAATCCGATGGTGGCCCCAATAAAACATCCATATTGAGCTATTCCACAGAGCTTAATCTTGACTCCACCTGAAGAAACAAGGAAAACCAGAAAACCCATTAAAGATTTGAGACTTTTGTTTCTCATAAAGACCCCACATAGGAAAATGGGTTCCTCATTAGATGCTGTTCTCTCAGAAAGAAGACCCTAGGAAGAGAAAATACGTTTCAGAGCCTAGCTAATTTGTTACCTAAATTGGCTCTCACAACATCCATGTAGGTATAGTTTCGGTTCCCTGTAACAGGGGATCTGTAACAGTCGGCGAGTAGAGTAGATGTGAACCAGGTGATGACAGAGAAGAGCACAAGAGCAGCAGGTCCAGCTGCCCAACCCAACTGAGCTATAACCCAAGCTAGAGAGAGCACTCCAGATCCAATAACAGTTGTAATTACGTGAGCACTTGCAGTCATCATCGTCCCTAGAAATCAAAATCAAACACAAGAAAAAAAACTTAGTGAAAATCTCAAAATAATGAATCTCAGAACTTTTTAAGTTTTAGCCAAGGAAACTGCACCAGTCCTCCTTTCGCGGCCATCGTCGTCCAAATTCTTAGTATCGATGCCCATCCCCATCATCGCCATGTAGCAGCTGTCCTTCTTCTGCAACTGTTACAGCTTTTGGTTTTGGAATGAACGCGCCTTGACTGAGTATTTGTTGTAGAGCCAAGCAAATTAATAGCTATTCCTTGGCTCCTTGCTATGCATTTATTATTACTAAGTGTATGCGCTTTATTCTCTATTCCTCTATTACTGGTTATAACTCGTTTGGCTTATTAAATATTAATTATTTATTACTCCCTTTGGTGGGTTGGTGCGTGGAGAGAGATAACATTAGAATCAAATCAAATGATCCCTTTTTATTTATTAATTTATTTTTGAAAGAAAAAAGTCAAAGGGTTTACTTGTTCACTTTTTTGAAAATTCCCATCTTACACAATGGAATATTTTACATTGATCACTGATGGGGCCTACCAAATTGATAAATGTTCCGGTTGTTGGTTAAGATGCATTTGTAATGGATATATTAATGCATTTTTCTATAAATATAAAAGATAACACTATTTTGTCATAAGTTTTTTTTCTAAAGAAATAGCTTTTTCACATTTTTTTCTATATAATAAACAAAACAAATATTTTTCATATTTCTTGCCACAGAAAATGCAATCCACTTTGGGAGAGAATTCTGAATTTAATCAAGGTCCAGTAAAAGCCCTATTTTACAGCAAAACTTACATGATCCCTTGCAAGCATTCTCAGTTTATGATCAGAAATGTTTGAGCTGTTTCTTTGGTTCCAAAATTTCTAAGTACTGAACAGGAATGTCTACTTAATTTCAAAGTTATAAACACTGATCAGAGATCCAGGTTTTATAAGAATTTTGATGGAAGACTATTGGGCCTGCACTACCCCTCATCTTGTTTTCCTTTGTGCATTCTTCAATTTGCACCACTAAATTTTTTAATGCACCAAGGCCTAAGAACTAATATCAGTCCATATTCTCTCTTCAGACAATCAAACATATATTTGTTTGTTCATTGCTTCTCTTATCTACATATTGGTATTGGTGTTGGTTTGGTCATTTGAAAAGCAGCCATTAATAAAATGTATCTTTTTTATAGTTTCCCACTAATATTTATAGCAAAATTCAGGAACTACCAATTAATGGGTCCCATCTCACAGCTTTATCTGAGCAGGGCACATGGTAAAGCCACGTATTAGCTTTTAATGAGGAAGATAAGCATATGATTTATATCAAAGCTTCTTTCATGGGATTTTCGATTTCAAAATGGGATGCTTTCTTCTTGTCTATTTCTACATTGAGATATGTCGCTAAGTGGCGAATAACAATAGAATTCTTTGCTTCCACTTGCCTTTCCCAACTACTATTATATTATTCTTTTGGCCATTTTCTCTTATACTTTCCATCCAAAAATCATTAATGAAGTCAGTTGATACATTCTCGAGTCTGGCACAATATTTTTACTTGGAGGAATTTTGATTCCTATAAAATTTCAAGTCCAAATCCCGTTCCTAGTTGCTCGTAAAAGTTGGATTTGTTAGAGAATAAAATACTATTTAAGGGCTTCACCTAACAGCTTAAGTTTTTAGGTGAACCATTCTTTGAAACCTGTTTGATCAATTAGTCTAATATTCTAGTGTTTGATCGTTTTCATCATATTATAATTAATTAAAATTTAGCACGAGGTATGAGTAAGTGGGTCATGCTTCTACCCCAATGGGCTTTTTACATGAAGAGGTATGTTAGAGAATAAAAACCTATTAAAAGACCTAACAGTTTAATCTTTTAGGTTGAAAGGATCTTTGAGAGGATTCATTATTTGTTAGGTCTGGAAGTGGGTTGGTGAAAAAGAAGAAATTTCTATTGAAGATAAGACACAAACTACCAAACCATGAACCTGTTTTTTGTTTTTTTTTTGTGTAATAATTAAAAGGATGCAATTAAGCCAAGTATAGGTTGGAAATTGCATGAAATTAAGCACATGGATTATGACCATTGTTGGACAGTTTTGTATGCCCTTAGCTTCAATCAGAATGATGTATTTTATGAATTTATTGTAAATGAATAAAAGTGCATATTTTATTCATATTCCCTTTGTATGTTTCTATGTAATACCCTTAAACTGGACACTTAATAAGACTCGTGTTAGTTTAGAATGTTCACAGCTAGTGGATCGGTCTAGGGAGACCTATCCTGATAAGGCTGACACTGTTGTGCCACCAAGTCGGTTGGGGTGGCCTGTCTTAGTTGCCAGGGTGAGACCCTAGGCACTTACAGTGTAGAATTAATTGAATTTTTGAACTGGACCAGATTTCCAGTATTGCCCTGGACCTTGAAGATTAAGGAGCAAAACTTGAAAGTTACACCCGACCCCTAGACTTGATTATGATACTGCACTAGGTGTCTGATTGGGCTGTCTTTGATGTACCAATCAGTGAGATCCTTAGCGGGGGTCAAAACCTGGGTATGTTGGGACAGTCTGAGAATTCATATGAGTGGGTGATCATAGTGA